TCCATGAGGCCTTGTTCCATCAAGTGGATGAGAAGGTCTTGCGGAACGTTATTCGAGAACAAATTGATGATACATTGCGCACTTAGAGCAATCGGATGCGATGGACGAGAAGGCCCAAGGAGGTCGAAGATTCTGTGAGCTCGGTCAAAGGAGCGATTCTTTATCTTATTTTGAGAATCGCGGATCCAGATTTTCGGTGTGGTCGAGTCATCGGCAGGGTGGAGAATCCAGAAGCCTTTGCTACCGTCGATACGGCCTTGGATACCTGCTGGAAGGCTTTCAAGTCCAATGGTCCTGACGATGAGAACCAAGGCGGCATGGTTGATGAGACCACAGCCGTCGGTCATGACCTTCTCAGCGGGCGGGCCTTTCTTATCCTTGGGCCAATCGGAGGCATCTGCCATAACAATCAAAATTGTGTCATGAACCATGAGCAGATTGGATTAGGACATACGAATATCATCGATGAAGAAGATATTCTCCTCCTCAAATTCCAGGACAGGGACCGAGTTTGATAACCCTAAAGCGAAGCGAGTAGCCCACTTGCTGATGACCTGAGATTGAAGAGCAATTGAATCAAACCGGAACACAGCATAGAATATACACCACCCACCTGATTGAAATTCTTATGTTGACCCAGGGGGTTATGCCAATTGATGAACTCGTTAAACGGACGTCGAAATAGGTCGCCACACCAGGTTTGACTCGACCGACCGTAATTCTCATCCGTCTCCACCAAATAGATGTGCTTATCTTTCGAGTGGAAAGGGACAAACACTCGACCACAGAGAATGAACTTGGATTTAACGAACTTCTTGATAGCAGCATTCTCTTTCTTCAAGAGGTCTTCTGGGATGCCAATCTGGATGAAACGTCGGGATCCATAATAACGGGCAAAGCGATGAGATCGCTTCTTCTCCATCCTTTCGAGGACGACGTTGTAGGTTGACCCATCTTTGACCAGATGACCGAGCTGTTGGATTCTGCCCCCATACCAATTAGACTCGCCGTGCCACTCGCCCATCAGACCCAAGCCACGACCTTTGTTCTCGAGAATCGCAGCTTGCTCGCGATCAAGTTCTTCCCTGGAAAATGAAACCCTCCTTAAGCCTCATGGATCATACTGTAAAGGAATATACATACCAAATTGCAAGCCCAGACTTCGAAAGAGAGCTCATACGTGTCATGACTCGGTTAACCTTATATGCGGCATCGGCATTCTTCCCCCTCAGCTCCAGGATGCGATCTCTGACGTCATCCCAAGTCCAAGAGCCATTCGAAACACCGCGAGCCAGCTCGTACTGTATGCCCCATTCGATGCGGTGCTCGTCAAGCAATTTCTGAGTTCCATTGGCATCGGGTCGTCCACCAATAAATACCTCCTTGAGGTCAGCACAGAGAGGGCCGTTCGCAAACCGGATGACCTCGGGCGGAACTGCGAGAGAAGGTTTAGACGGCACTGAGGGCTGTTGAAGGACGCGGGATATCGGTGCGGAAGGACCTTTCAGCTCTCGTTTCAGGGTGGCGACAGCTGTAACACTAGTCGATGTTGGGGCATCAACATCCCGCTTCTGAGGACGCCTCTTCCTGGAAGTGACGTTCGGCGAAATCGACAACTGTTCAGGACTGAACGTGTCCCGAACGCCAGTCACTGAGGTCGACGCCTTTCGAGGCCTTTTGACACTCGCAAGATATTGAGTAGCGTCCACTTTGCAGCTGGAGAAAACGTCGTTGGTTTGCTCGGGAAATCCGACAGAGGACATGCTGCTGCTTGCCGAGATCGAGGAGAAAAGGGAATTTAAGGAGGCTTGCGAAGAAGGGGTAGAGCTCGCTGAAGGATCATCATAGAACGAGGAAGGGCGAGTTGGCTGCTGCATAGGCTCGTTGTCGGTTGGGACTTCTGTGCTTTGATGAGTTCTGAATTATTAAAGGAGGAAAAGTCGCTGCTAACCTTCCTCCGAGTCTTCCGAGTCGGAAGAAATGTATATTACGACAGGTTTGGTAACCTGTTGAGCAAACTTGAGATTTTTTGTGTTCGCATGGATGTAAACAGTATACTACCTTTGACGTACTTTGCGGTCTAGTTGGTGTAGGAGGGGCTGCATGAAAGGCTCGGGTAGGCGTAAGGAAATAGGCAGGCCATAAAACGCACCAGATACGTTACTAGAATCAAGGTTCAGCTTCTTGAAGGCATTTTCGATCGCAGAACTACGGCTTATCGGGGTACCAGCTGGGGTGGCAGGTTCCTTGGAAGGGTGACTAGGCTGTGGATACGTCTGACTTCGTTGAAGACCACCAGCTGCCATGGTTCTCGTCATTGAAACCCGCTAAGAATAAGACAAATACTACTACTCACTGCTTGGACTCTGTCTTGTCTCTTTGATCTCACGAGTGTGTTGATATCTAGAGCGAGAGGGCGTGCTCAAAGAGCTAAGTGCAGATGTCGACCGCGAAACGTCGTCTGATCGCGTCGTCTGCTGTTTGCCTCTTGGGGTAGGCGTGCGAGCAGAATCTTCGGTTCTCTTCCTCGCTGGAAAGGCCCATGAGTCATCTGCCCACAAATCTCAGCAAAATCTGCCGAGGAAATTGGACCCACAACATACCCGATGATCCAGCATCGCTTGCTGTGACATAATCGGAGAAAGAATCCTGTTAAGACCGGCAAACATTTAGGAAAAGCACTGTCCACGAGGTCAACCGACTGACCCTGTCCCTTGAGGTGGCCATGGAGTGTCCAGGTGTCGTCGCGGGGTTGAAAGTGCTCCAGTATTAAGGTATCCAAGAAAGGCGGGTATCCAAAAAGTAGGCGGAGTATATTGGACAGGAACTTTAAGATGGGAGACTCATAGATGGAAGAGCGATAAGAAGCGCAACCCCGCCACCTTCACTAGAAGGAGCGGATTGAGAAGAGAGCCATACTTATGCTCGCAACCTTCCACAATGGCACAAATGAACCTTAAGTGACATCTCACGTGCCACGCGCCAGAGTGTGATGCTGTCACCTCTGTCCAGCTCTGACCACCAGAGCCACCCAAGCCACAGCAAGGACCATGTACACCTCCTCAGCCGCCCAGAAGGCCAAACGCCGAACACATTCGCGTCCAGAGCTCACAGATGAGCAGAAGCAGGAGATCAAAGAGGCCTTTGAGCTCTTTGACACGGACAAAGATGGTTGTGTGGATTACCACGAGCTGAAGGTTGCAATGCGGGCACTCGGGTTCGACCTCAAGAAGGCCGAGGTCCTGAAGCTATTGCGGGATCACGACAAGGATAATTCGGGTCTAATGGAGTTCCAAGACTTCGCAAAAATCAGTGAGTTGACGCGTTCCCTCATCGCTGTGTCGTGACGCGTCAGACGAACCTAGTGTTGCGCCTGTTTTGCCTGATGCATGTTCATCTTGTCGTTATCCGCGAACTGACACGTTTCTTTTTAGTGAGTGAACGGATACTCGAACGTGATCCGATGGAAGAAATCCGAAGAGCCTTTAAGCTGTTTGACGACGACAACACGGGCAAGATTAGTCTGCGAAACTTGAGACGCGTGGCGAAGGAGATTGGGGACAGGCTGGAGGACGACGAATTGTGAGTCCGAGTCATGGTCACGGTCTGACTATCCCTGATCAAGGGAGCAGGAAAGCTATGATCGACGAATTCGACCTGGATCAAGATGGTGAAATCAGCGAGCAAGAATTTTTCGCCATTATGACAGACGACGCATAACCACCCTTGTTCACCTCTTCGGATCCTCTTCTTTTTTCTGTCGCTATTTATCTGCAAGCATCTCGTGTCCTCCTTTCTTCAATTGTATACTCACCGCGCTCTCCACTTCCATACCACTCTGCAACGTTCATACACGTGAGTATCTCGACTTCGCGTTCGCTGTATGTGGACTTATGAAACCCGGAAGGACTTGATTAGATGTATTTACCTTCCAGGCGGCAATCACGATATCAGGGTAATTTCAATGATTGGATGATGCCCATTCTCTGCATCTATTGGCCGGACCTTCCGACGCTTCATCACTATCCCAGCTGGCCTATCGTCGGCCCACTACTCAAGAACCAATCATCTTCACGAGCGGTGTCCTTCATAGCCGGTGGCCAATGGCGAATCATCTCTGGACTTCAGAGCATCCCATGAAGAGATATCGACCTGTTCATGGCAGGTCCAGGAACGAGTGGGTCCAAATTCTTGTGACTAAAGTGTTCAAAACAGTTAAATGACCGCCACCAGGACCCTCTCGCCACTAAAACGCTGAGGACCCTTCACCTTACGTTGCCAGAAAATCAGAGGTCTTCTGAGCTGGATATCATTTGCGAATGGCGGACTCGGAGAATGTGGGAAACTCATAGGTACGGCAAACGTGATGTCTGACAACTGAACAAGCGACTCACTGGGGGTGGACTTTCGTCGACGTTTTGCTAAAAATTTCAGCAATGGAGGACGGCTGCCTCTCCATGCAACTGAGTAAGGTCTACCTTTCGTCAGACTTTAGCGGCGAAATTGCCAATCCTAGTGCCCGCCAAGGCCTGTGGCAAAAATGGAGCAAATATCATCTGGCGCTACATAGAAGTGAGTTATCCGCCCTACTGCTTGCGTGATGGAATCTCCTCCGACGGCGCTTAGTCTTGTTTTCCAGGAACACCAAACGCTGATCGTAGCGTTTTGGCCGTCAAACCTTAGGTTCGGTACCGTTTGGACGCGTGGCAATCTCGAGTTCAATACTCGTTCCATTTATCTGCGCTGCGAATCTCTTGAGAGCCTCCACAGGCACCCAAAGAGGCCCTTCCGCACGTCCGTGGTCCGGACTCATATACCTTGGGATCAACGCAAGTCTGCATATTTCGTCGGCATACGCCGGCAGCCTTGCACCCTGGTTATGACGGGTGTCCTCTGATACCTTGGGTGATCATAACCACCGAGTCTGGAGGCTCTCTGATTTGCCCTCTGACCCCCAAGCCCGCCAAAGCCAAGTACGACGTTCCTCGATATTTTGCGTCCGCCTTTGGCGTTATTTGCCAAAGGCTTCCACCAGTCCCCGGAGTTCGGAACGTTGCCGGAGAGGATCAGGAAAGATCGTAGATCTCCGTAATTGACGATCCGGCGAATTTGTATTGAAGGATGGTGCTATTAGACGAGGAAGGCACCCCGGACGAAGCGGACAGAAAAGACAATACGATACGCTGTGTTCGTCCTTTTCCATGGGCTTTCCTCGTGGTCGACGACGATAACGTGGACACCAACAACCTATTCACGGACAACTAAGTGCGTTTCTCTTTTGTACTTCTATTCGGATCCACAGCCAACTCAAAAGAGTACGCGATAGAGGAATGGGCATCAGCGGGGGTTATGATGGGAACATCATGAACTTCGATTCCTTATCAAAGCTCGACGGTTTTCCAATGATTCCATCGCACTTATTGCACACGAAATACCAGCTCGATAAAGTCTAAAACCATCCTCGGCGATCCAATTCACATCCAATTCCGTCTGGCGAATGAATTCCAGTGAACCCTGCTGAACCCTGCGTGGGTCACGATGGACCGACGACGGCACCGATTCTCCAAGGTGCACTGATTGGGCGGCTACAACACTTGGCGGGCAACATACGGGGGCTGCAGGTGACCCGTCGACGACTCCGCTGACAAATTATGGTCCCCGATTCCGCGCTATCCTCTTGACCCTTCTGATGACCCTGAGCGGTTCCGAGCTCCAGATGGAAAGAGAACGCCACATTCTATCCCAGATTGGATGCCATCATTGATTCTTACGACATCAACTCAATGTCACTATAACGGGTTACGGCAGCAGCTGTATAAGGAGAGCCCTCCGACACTTGTGCGCCCCGACCGCGTGTCTGGACCTCCGGTGACGACATGAAACTTCTCGTTCTTTTGTCCACCGTTTCTCTTCCCCAGCGACGCGCTTCACGACCAACATCAGTCCATGCAAAAACGGACATCCGCACTGGAATGCTCTCACCGTGATCCATTGAATTAGCGTCCTTAGAGTGCGTCAAATGATTCCGAAAGGATTCATATTATGAAACGCGTGCTGTCGGGCTTTTCTATTTTGCATGCCTGCTTGGCGATGAGGCGGAATGCAAGAGCAATTGAGCAATACTGGAATACCCTCACGATGAGGGCGGGTAGAGCCTAATCGAGAAACTGGGCGCCTGTACAGATTTCCCTAGCATTTGAGGTCCACACCTGTCTGTTCTGTCAATATGTAGCCAAGGCGAGAGAATGCGTCTCAGTCCCCGTTCCGACGTTGCAGGTTGTGTAAGTAAGCCTGGCTAGAACCTCGCAATCGATTCTCTTCTACAAAACTTCTGGTCTTGCCACTACGATCAGCGTCTTTCCATATTGCGCATTTTCTTTTCGTCGTCTACTTTATGGTGGGTGGGGTTATGATCACCGACGCTGATGGATTCTTTGGGTTTATGATATCTCCGGGGGGGTTGGGCTCCGGAAGTGGTAGGTATCTGCAGACAATACGGGACTACCTATTCAAATGAATGCCGATTAGCAAGGAGGACGGCGTTCTGATTAGAGTTGCAAGTTGAGGTAGATAAACAGTACGATACCGCCTTTCGGAGAAAGCAATGAGCATGGACAAGTATTAGTAGGCTTAGGCGGCGAGAGAAGGTGGTCACGAGGGAAAATGAAGAGCGAGGAGATAACAAAGAAGCCAAGGGTCGAGCAAAAGGACATGAAGAAGCTTCGTACAATGGACGACAGCAATTGTGCGTTGAGAAAGGCGCTCCAAGTCACTACTGGATATGTATATCCCATGGTGATTGACGCTACGACTTCCTCGGTAACCTTTACACCATTCATTCCGAGTCTACTGGAAGCAGAAACAATCATGGTTCCTTCAATTGAAGACGAGTTGGTATTTATAGCCACAACCCCCGCATAGATTTGGACCCCACGGCTCGTTCCGAAATCCGTGAGTGCGTATGCGGATGGGAGATCTTGCGGCCGTAGAAAGGCCCTTTTCAACAAATGCGACAAGTTTGAGTGAGCGAGGGAAGAAGAAGAGACCGATGTCCATGTAGACTCTGGAGTAGACGATGTCCATGGGAAGCGAGGAAGTGTCCAAATGGACATAGGCCTGGACACGAGGCTACGAACTTTTGTGGCGCGCCAACTAGCCGGGAGACTGGGAGGTCTATCCGTCAGTCTTTCGGAGTTTCTACTCGACAGCAACGCCTCTTATCGTCTGCGATAACGAGCCCGAGGTGTTGCAGGATGCCCAGAGTGACAAGCCATCGTCTTCCCGTTCATTTTGCTCAGTTAGCGTCGTGTCAGTAAGCAACTACCAAGCCCTTCCCGCGGCTCTAGATCTACCACGACAAACCTCGTCCATAGGCAAACACCGCAGATAGCCTTTCGAACTCGAACGCACGAGCTTGAGGAAGATAAGCAGCACAGGAAACGACACTTTAACTGGCAGCTATCACAGCTCGCCACTCAGCGCGATCGACTTCAATTCAGTAAGGTTTTGGAAGGCGTTGGAGTTCTCGAGACCCAATTTCGGATGGCGCGCGAGGCTCTCGATCCGCTCTAGCACATGCTAGCGCTGGCACGTTGTTCGCGTGCGGACCAATGGACGTCGGAACCATATGAACCAGATTGGAGCTCAGAGACATTTCAGCTGAGGCTGAGGATCGCGGGTGCGTGCAAAGGGCCAATGCACACGGTGATAAATAGCGCGTGCGTCAACCATTCGCAATACATGCACCATGCTCAGCAGCAAGGAACATCTAGGTTTTGGTCCTCATCAAAGGCTGTATTTTTGAAGCGCTCGCCGCCACGGTAGCTCCACGGCCACAGCCCAGGCATTGGGCGGCATCAGAGCAGCGAAGACCCACGGTTTGGCAGGAACAATTGCACACTCTATCAGTCTACTCGAGACTCAGACTCTCTCGCTAGAACTTGAGCCGCGTTCTTGCGCATTCGAAATTCGGGACATCGCACCATCCATCACTCATCTGAGAAGGCCCGCCGTGCCTCCATACCAGCGTGATAAGCAGGCCCTACTGATAGCGTGATAGCACTCTCCTTCTCCCAGTTTCCGACTTTCGAATTCAGGGCGATAAGAGGGTTCTAAAAACAGGCACGGGGTCGGTGCGGACGGGCGGGGTGGGTACCCGCGTAGCATACGCGTACCAGCAACTCCGAATTTGACGCTGACCGACCAGCTGGAGCGTTATCAATATCTTCCTTCCCAGTTCCAGGACCAAGTATACACCTTTTCTCGCGATCCTGATAGCGATCTGGCTTCTGCACGCTCTGGAGTCGGACATAAGGTGTTAAGCCTACGACGGATGTGTGTGGGTATTCGTTTTCACGTTCTCGTGCTTCCAATTCTTCCAAGGACGACGGAATGGGAGCGGAACCCATGAAAAGAGAGTTCGAAACATACAATTTTGTACGCCGTGATATGTCAAGTGCGCTGTCTTGTTTTTTAATAGCGCAAGACATATGGACCGTCCCTGGAACCTTTTCGGTCGCGATGTGGGGCCACGTCTTCATCCGGTTCAGAGTCCCAAGCAGGCGGGCTCAAACCGTGCTCTTCTGGCATAAAAAAAGACTTGCCACTGTCACCCCAGAGTCAAGTCACTGGTCAGTGCCTATTAATAATAAGACCTGGCAAGCGCCGCTTGCGCAGGGAATTGAAGCTGCTCAGGTGACGCAACGCTTTCTCGCGCGACCCAAGATCCAGAACCGGATCGGAATCGCGCTCTCGCTTGTACGTACTCAAAACGTCACGCGTCAAGTGCCGCCCCCACGTCCATGTCAAAGAACCTTCAAAGAACTCGAGAACATACGTCAAGCGAGGACGAAGACTCCGATCCGGGACAAGATGTCAATTTCCCTTGGGACGTTGGCGACGTCCTCGAAGACTATTGGGGTGTTCTTGCAGATAAATAAGCGTAGATTAACGATCTACAAGCAGTTTTACACCAATTTCAAAGACTTAGACGCCGTTATTTCATCTAGGAGTGCTGGAGATAAGAAAGTGAACTGTGGTCTATGGATCTCTATGGATTTCAACGAAAACCTTACCTCTGGAGTAAGCATTTGAGATCGCAATGCTCAAAATGGAGGAAACCTTTTGTGAAGACCCAAATATTGTAGAGAACAAGTATTACATAACCTTGACCAAATAGTGCGATTTTAGTTCATTTTACGGTTATGTCCCAAGGTAAGGCTTTGCAGTATGACCCGAAATCACCGCGCGCCAGCTTTACATATGTCGGCGATTTGGAGCTCAAACGCCGCGACCTCTCCTCTCTCCTCGTCCCTCCTCTCTGGCGTCACGACGGAGGAACGACGAATTCAAGAGCAGCGACTCAAGCACGTTGGGCGTGCGGAAGAATGTAAACGTTGTCATGGCGCTGGGGCGAGCACAGTGGGAGAGAAGTGACGAATGACAGCAAGGGAGGGCGAGGGTGAGGGTGAGGGTGAGGGTGAGGGGTGGATGGACAAGAGGGCGAGGGCGAGGGCGGGACGAGCACGAGCACGAGCACGAGGGGGTGTGGGCGGTTGGTGTAACGGCGGTCAGCCTGACTGCGAGTTCACCACAATACACCCGACACACCCTCTACCAGCTACTTCAGCGCCGCATTGCTCAGCGCAAGGCGACAACACGATCGGATCCCCGCAGTGCAAGGATAGTCCTGAAGGACGACAGCAGGGCAACAGCAACGGTGCAATGGCGATGACGACTGACATGAGGACAGGGCAAGGGCGGTGAGCCCAGCGTGGCGGGTGGCCCGTGCACCACGAAGACGAGCAGGAGATGCACTGGAGCAGAAACGGCACGTCATGGATGTGCTCGTTTTGCCTTTACCTGTGGCTCTACTAGCCACCCTGTTCCTGTATTTATTTAAATTACGATTTATCTATGTAAATGGTAGAATATTGTCCGGGCCTCCCAATCATAATGGACGGTCGCTTTGCTCAGTACACTCTTAGTTCCGAACCACCATCATCTACTATCATGATGCCCCCACCTCCTCCGGTTAATGTTAATTCTCCCCAAGTCGTCCAAATCTCCTCCCTCACCGCCGTACTCGCCAGACTTGGCATCACGATACCGATCGAGGATGTCATCAAGGCCGTTCATGACGAGAACGAGGCCAATCGTGCCAAGTTGACCGCCGAAGCGACAAAACGCCGCGCCGCGCTACGCAAGCGTAAGTCAACCTCCGAGTCCTTACACACTCTCTGACAACGAACCTCCCAGTCGCTCTTGAGCCAATCAAGGCATCCCCCGGCCTCAAGATCACGACGGTCTCCAAGTTCGTACCCAAGCCTACCCCTACCGAGCCCACCAATGTCGATCCGTTGGCGAAGGAACGCCGCCGTCGTCTCGTCGAACTCACGAAAGAGGCGTTTCCCGACGGAAAGGTTCCAGATCCGTTCAGTTTAACATGGTCGGTTTGACCGAGGATGTTGCCGCCAACAAGCTACATACCCTTCGTCTTCGCCTCACGCCTCATCGTGACAAGCACCACAGACATGTCTGATGAGCCGCCTAAATCCATCTTTGAGAATGTCTGGTGCCTCTGGGACAGTGGTGCCCAGACCTCCTTCATTCTCACCAGCAACCTCAATAGTACTGTTAGGGACAATCGAGACGAAGGGAGCGCCTTGATGGATATCACGTAGGCCTTCGCTCTATCATCTCCGTCTTGCGGCTGTGTTTGCTAATCACGTCCATTAGTTTCTCGGATGTGAACCAAACCATAGCCTTGGCCATTCACTTCCGCCCTCAACTTCCCAACGGCGTGACTTTCATCATTCTCGGTCAGCACGTCAGTCCATATTCCATTTTTCAATCCTCTGAAGGCTAAAGTCATTGTGCTTGCCATTACAGGCCCTGCTCAATCGTCTTCAGTATCAAATTCGGCCCGTGTCGATTAACCCTCAGTTCTCACAAGAATTCCCGTCGGCATATGGTCAACTCAAGTGAACCTTCCACATCCGTCTTTTCTGAGAGTCTCTGTTAATATATTGTAGTCTGATTGCTTGGAGGGATCCTGTGACTGACCAAGTAATTCCCCTTTGAGGTCTCTCTTTTGTGTGTACACCAGTATTTTACTACGATGAAGTGTTGCCTACGGCTTCAGAACCCCTTTGGTCTGTTTGGCATTGTATTTCTTTTTGTTAATACATGATTATGTGGATGGAGGATACTGATACCGGATACTGAGTATTATGTAATATAAGGCTGGCAGAGTACTGTTGCTTCATGCATTCGTTGTGACATACCATAAACCATTTCCTTCCCGCAAGAACAAATTGTTGATAGGGTGCACGATCCTTTCAATAATAGGAAGTGGATTTGTAGAGTGGTTAGTTTAGCCATTTTATAGAGCCACCCTCACAGCTACCTTCTCAACGGGTATGTGCACAAGTGTAGCAAATCTGTGTGAGTTCCACTGGCAGTATGGGGGAAGTAATAATTATCGCTCTACACACCCGAGTTCGATGCACGGGACGGCGAGCCGCGAACGAGTATGGTAGTGTGTTGTCTCGTCTTCTGGCCTGGGGTAAGAAGAATAACAGCCTAAGGTACCCAGTGAATGCTGCACATCACCATCAACCATGCCTTTGAGAGGGTGTTCTCTTTCTGATGCAACCTCAGAGGTGTTGATTGTCCAAGACACACGAAAAGCCTCCTTCATGGCATGCACGGTGCGTGCTACGAACCTGATTGCGAGAGCACCCGTTACGCATTCCAGCTCCAAAGCTCTTCCATGGTGGTACCTTTTCATCACGGCGTCTGGGACTGCACGGTCATTCGGCAGAGTTCGGGGCAGGCTAGCCGTTGTGTAATCGGATTCAACAGAGGCATTTCAGTCTCGGCGCGTTCCTACCTAAACCGTCTCCCCAAAGCCAGAAAGACAGAAAGAACGAGTCGAGAGGGAGACCAAACGAGATGTGAGCGTGGGGGTGCGAAGTACGCAATCGAATTCATTGTCGACTGGATCGCCCAGAACGCGAAGGTGTCGCCGATTTCATCGAGCCCTGATAACAGCAATACAAATCTTGACGATGAGTAGGACTTGTACAACGCCCGAGGATAGCACTCCTGGCAGTAGCTCAAAGATCCAGAGCCGTACCTTGCATTTTTCTCATACAAAGAGCTATTTTTGAGCACGGTAGTTGGTGACATAGCCTGCATCGCAGGAGGGCTTGGTCATGCCATAACGCGAGCGGCCCCGGAGCGCAAGCAATCTCCAGGAATATCTCCACGACGTTCACGTTTCCTTTCCTAGAAGAGCTCAGCGCAGCATGAAACCCGGCTAGAAGCAGGAAGAATGGGAAGTCAGCACCGCTGCGAAACTGGCGCCGGAGAGGGAAGCTTACGCTCTGCTGTAAACCTATGTAACTCGAAGGGCGACGACAACCGTACCTGTGTCATGTACGACATTCAACACACCAGCATGACACAACCCCGACTCCGACTCCGTACGGACTTTGCCAAAGAAAAATATCCCACTGTCTGTCCGTCCCAGCCATGTCAACTGCCAGAGAAGAAGCCCCAAGGGTGCTTTTGATACCGATGGTGCCCCGTTAACGTTATGCAACGGCTGGCGACAGCGGGGCGTAGCAATAGTCATCAACAATCATGAATTCACGGAATTCATTGTCGCCTCCGAGTCCCGAGTCCCGAGTCGAGGCTCGAGGCCCACTCCTCGTCCACGCGAGGGCGAAGCGAGTCCGAGTCCGAAGACCCGATTTCGAACTGGAGAACAGAGAGCTTGCAGAAAACCACCGACGACGATGTGCTGCGTGCATGCATGCACATGCATAACCCACTCTAGAAGTGAAGTGAAGCCTGAGGCCTGATGGACCGCTGAAAGCTGATTGGTGACGGTACGGTGCAATCGGACGGATACTCAGCCTGTTGACTCGTCCTCGTCTTCTCAAGGCAGAGTCCGAGAAGTTAGCCGGCGCTTGAGCGCGTCGCGAAGGACCACGTTGCGCGACGAGCGGCTGGGCCCAAGAAGAGGTCGACGCGCAGCACCAGCACCAGCAGCCCATTCAAAGCCATTCAACAAAGATCCTCGAACTCGAAGCGACGATACCACCTCCGACTTGGCAGCGCGGGGCAGTACAGGTGGCTATCTCTCCTCGATTCGAATCCAGCTGTCGCCTAATAGCCACCCCACGCCCCTACCCACGTTACTGTCGCTTCGCAAAATGTGATAAGCATCTCCTTCGAAGGAGTTCGATAACGTGGGTTGGTAAGTCAATTGAGTAAGTACATACCGTAAGGATCGACGAGGCTTGACAGCGCTTGGGAATCTGTTGACGGTGATATCATCGATATCTGATCACGTCGCCGGTTGGCGTTCGCGCCGTTCATTGAAGCTACTCGACTAGTCCATCTCGGTGCTGGTTGGGCGATGGGGCGGTGCAGGTGACGAAAGATCAGCACTACTTAGTAGTAGCAGTTGTAGACGAAAGCGGACGAGTCCAGGGATCTCGCGAGGGTCCAAAATGAGGGCGAGTGACGAGTCGGAGCGGGGTGTACGTACACGCTCGCGTACGTTGGCAACCTAGAGGTCAAGTGAGCCCCGCTCTGTGATCTCTTGAAATTTGATTAGTGAGACGGCACGGCGGAGGGGCGGGCGGAAGCCCATGAAGTGGGAAGTGGGAAGCGGGAAGTGGGAAATCAGTGGAACCTGGCGATCCCTCGATGAGGCTGGGGTAGGCAAGTAAACTCGGAGGAGGGCCGCGAGAAGTTAACGATTGTTGGCAGAGGGCAGAGAAAGGAAAGTCGTCGCCAGCACTCCAGCTCGCAGCAGCTATCGCATCGCGAGGGAGGAGACTACGAAAAAAAAAAGATGATCAAGCCACCAGGAAGCACCTAGCAAGGCTCCAGGTCCTTCCCCAAGTTCCTACTCGGTTTCCACTCTCCATTTGCGATTGCGATTTGCAAGTAACACCGATAGCGAGATAGCGAGTGCGGTGCGCCCTCGCTCCACGTCCAAAAACGCCATATCGAAATCGAACTCACTAGATGAGTTGAAAACGGCCTCGCAACTTCAATTGTAAAATTGCAAGGGTCCGGTCGGTCAGCTCATCCGACGGTCCTTATCCCTCGCAAGTTGTCGCGCTCCACGTTCCACTATGACAGAAAACTCAATACTCGTGAGAGTCCTCGGGGAACGAGAAGCCTGAGCAAAAGAAAGCTTACACTTACAGATACATAGAGTACACTTACAGATAGAGTAGTACACTGTACAGTAGCTTACGCATCCACAGGGACCACGATTGTACGCGTCTTCTTCACGAATCGCCCGTACAAGAACCGACGTGCGATAATACGTGCGTACGAATATTAAATTCATGGCGCTTGTAGAGGCACCGGTGCGCAGCAAGCCCTCGCGCGAAGCCTCCGCTCCGTCGAAGTGAACGAACGTGTTTCAGAGTCTCAAAGGAACTGGAAAGGAGCGAGCGAGTAGGGAGGGAGATGGATCCGACTGTAGCACACAGCTGCAGGCTGGGGGTTGCCTGGTGCCCAGGGACGCATTCAAAATGTGTTTGCCGTGAATGACGAAATGGGAGCGGGTAAGCAGGTTTGTGGTAAGCGCCTTTGCTGCCAGTGTTAGGTAAGTGTAAGTTCGGGCGCCTGGAGGTTTGCTGGTCACATCTACGTGTAGCTTTGTCGGACAGCTCGTAAAGCATCTTCATGTCATCCAAATCCAACGCGAACGCGTAGTGATATAATATAAGCTCATCCATTCGAAGAAGACCCCAAGTCAATTAGCGCTACAAAGGAAACTCCCATTACTCAAAACGATAACGAAACACCAAAAGACATTTACAAAAATACAACTGATCACGAAACGAACACGAGAGATACGACGACAATGAACAAAACACTCGAGGAAAAGGACGAATAGATAATCGAATAGATAAGCTAGGAAGACCGATAGCATGGTTGGTTGGTTGGTTGGTATTTGCAAGTACACGTATACGTATCTGTATCGTACTAATACTTTATAATGGTAGGGCAGATAATGGTAGGAGGCAAGTGGGCAATAGTAGGTGGGGTAAGGTAGGTTGTAGGGTGATGGGAGATAAATACCTTGCTTGAGTAAATGATGATGGATGAGGATGCGTGGAAGAGAAGAAAGAAGCACTGGTGGTGGGATGGGAAGTGGGATGAACAAAAGGGAACTTGCGTGGATGGAGAAGGGGGTGGATTGCGTGCAATGAAGGAGGAAAATGTTCGTGATGAGGATATATGCGTGGTTGTTGCGGATCCCAATTCGAAAAAAACAAGAGCACCATGGGCGAAAGCAAAGGGTTTTTTGGGTACGGAAAAACAACAGTGGGAAAGAAACGAAGAAGGTAATTTTTGTAAGGAGAAAGAGGAAGGTGATAAGAAACCAAACCCGAGAGAAATAACGAAGTGAAGTGAAGAGTCCGTTTAGAAAACGAAAGGAATAAACCCGAGTCCATGTCGAAGACGAGGCAGCCAACGGTTACACCGCGACCTTCTTGCGCTGCGCCGCCAACACCGAGGGCGCGAGCGACGCGGGCGGGACGAAGTCCTTGTGCACGCGCATATGCTGGCCCAAGTTATCATGCCTGCTAAAGTCCTTGCCGCACCCGGGTAGGGACACCTATGAGCTACAAAACAAATAGGTCAATCAGAAAGAACAGACGAAGACAAAAAGAAAGACAGTCAACTCACGTTTTTCATACGTATGTATACTCCTCACATGCCTCTTCAAATGCTCCCCGCGCGCAAAACACTTGCCACACCCCTCCACATCACACAAATACATCCTCGCATTCTTGCCCCCGGCCGCCGCGCTCTGCCGCTTCTTCCCCGCGCCGCTCGCCGCGCTGCGCATGTCTTCCAGGGAGGACATGGTCGGCACGCGCCGCCCGCGCGATTTCTTGGTCAGGTTGGGGACAGGCACGGGGATGGGCATGGTGGGTGACGGACGCAGGCGCCGGCGTGCGGTGGATGTGGTGGTTGTGTGTGTTGAGGTTGAGGAGGTGGAAGAGGGGGTGGAGGATGTGGAGGAGGGGTTGGACGCAGAGGAGGTGGACCGGCTGGGCTGGGATGAGGATGTGGATGTGGAGGCGGGCGAGGCGCCAGGGTGGGAGTTGTACCGTCGCCGACCGTCGTAGGACGCATCTGTCGATTGCGAGAACATGCTCTGCTCGCCGTCGTAGCTGAACCCCCCATCCGCATAGGGATTATACCTCGACACGCTCCTCGGCCTCAACGTTCTTCCCTCTCCATACCCACCAAAGCCCGCACCCGCACCCGCACCCGCGCTCGTTGTGGGATACGACGACGGCATCCCCTGGCCCTGTCCATGCCCGGCGTGCGCCTGCGCCGCCTGAGCCTGAAGCTGGGCCTGAGCCACTGCTGCCATCGCCGACGCAGACACCGGCACGGCCGACCCACGGCGCCGACCGCTGCCCACGGCCCCCATCCCACCCCGTGTCCGGCTCCGCGGCTTGAGCACGAACTCGTCGTCATCGTCGTCTTCGCTCTCCTCCTCGCTCTCGGACTCGTCGTCGAACTCGTCTTCTTCTGACGGACTCGTTGCGTGGTTGTCTTGGTCTTGCTCTGGCTGGTGCTGATGTGATTTATGGATAGGGCGGCGCAGGATGCGGCCTCGCGATGTCGTGGAGGTGGAGGCGGTGGAAGTCGAATTCGAGGTGGAAGTGGAAGTGCGCGAATGGGACGCCTGTTCGTGCTCGCCGTCGTCCATGTACTCCGTCTGCTGCTGCTGCTGCTGATGGTGCTGCTCGTACCCCTGCTGGACCTGCATCTGCGCATGGTCGCCCCAGTCCTCCTCGCCATCCGCGTCCTCCTCGCCCATCCCACCGACGACGACCATGCCCACGTCCTCCATCACATGGGGGGCCATCCCGACGGCCATGCCGCCCGAGACGATGGAGATATGGCCGTCCAGGTCCATCTCGCCCATGCCCATGTCACTGTCCAGACCGCCGACCGGGTGGAAGCCATTCTGCTGGTGCGGGTGCGGGTGGCATTGCTGCTGCTGAGCCTGCGGGGGGCAGACGAAGCGGGGGTCACAGGCGACAGCACCGGAGAGGTCGGCGTAGGTCGACAGTGGGGAAACGGAGGAGTCGCTCTGGGGCGAGACATCCGCGGGGTGTACGGTGCCCGTGGAGGCGTACACCTGCTGCTGGTATTGTTGGGGCTGTTGCTGCTGCTGCGGACGGAAGGGCGGGGAGTAGTACGCGGTGGGCTGTGGCTGTTGGAGCGGCGAGAGGAGAGCGAAGGGGCTGGCTGCGGTGCCCGTGCCCGTCTGAGGGTTCTGTGTATCGTGGGCATGTGATTGGAGGAGGTGCTGGTGGTGGTGGGTGTTGTGAGACATTGGGATGTGGTGGTGGTTCTGGGAATGGACGAGGTCGTGCGAGGGAGGATAAGCGGGGATGTTGGCAGGAAAGGCGGCGAGATCCTCCTGCTTGATCCTCGGAGGCGCGGGGGAGTGGTTGGGGGGGGCAGCAGGCTGGCGT